TCCCGTGGTCGTTTTCCAAGAGCACATGTGCTCCTGAGCCAATTGTTGCTCCAGTCTGTAAATTATAATATATTTGTCAGAGAAGTTAGCAATAACAATAATTTGCTTGCAGAGCAAAAGCAACGGGGCAGTTAAGTTATGAACAATCAGGATTATGGCGGCATCCAATGGATACAGCAGCACGCATCTGCAGTGGACTCCGAGGCCGACCTACTGGAAAACGGCGCTGCCGACAGTGAGGTAGCGTCCGCCTACTTGGTCAATGGCAATGCAACCGATGAGGATCTCGACCATATGGCGGCTGAGAATCTCATATTCATGGCGCGTGATGGTCAGCTGAGCGAGATAATTGCAGCCAACGAGAGCGGTGGCAGTACCGTCTTAATTACGGACAGTGGAACTGTTTCCTATGCCGCGGCATTTGATGAGGATGCCCAGGTGGTCACTGAGGAGATAATCACGGATGACTGGGTGCAGCACCAGGGCGCCGAGCGGTAAATAGTTGATGATATTCTCCTGAACCGAGATCTAAATTCATAATTTGATTGGTTTTAGCGTGGAAATCGCTGCGGAACAAATCGCGGGCAACAACAGCTCGCAGGAGCTGCTGGACATGGAGCAGGACGAGTATACGGCACTGCGACCCTATCCCTGTGACTTCTGCAGCCGGCGTTTCCGCAAGAAGACCAGCCTGAACAATCACATGCTGGCGCATCAGAATGATCGTCCACATCTGTGTAAATTGTGCGGCGCTCGGTTCTCGCGACGGGCCGAGCTCATCAGTCACTTCAAGGCGCACGCCGAGGCACAAGATGCTGCCGATGCGGCGGCAGCAATCAAATTCGAGCCTCCACAGCAACAACAACGCCAAATGGACGATCATTTCTATGAGCAGGAATGGTCACTGTACCAGGATCAGGAAGACGATCAAGTGCAACAAGATCTGCAGCAAATGGAGCAAGACCAGCAGGAGCAGCATGAACAGCAAGAGCAGCAGCAGCAGCAGCAGCAGCTCGTGCTGCCGCAGGCCAGCTATGCAGCAATCAGTGATGTGCCCGCCCCAACTGCCGCGCGAGGTCGCATCAGCCGCCTCAAGCCCAAAGAGGAGAGCACTCAGTATATTGTGATTGGTGAGAAGCAGACAACGGACGACTTGCAGCCGTACATGGAGTGCGAGGAGCTGCAACCCGCGCTGACGAGTAGTACGTCAATTGAAGCGACATCAGTGACGGCCAGCGCGCCCGTTGCTGAGGTGGCGGCGACTCCGCGCTTTCCGGTGATAGATGAAAGCAAACCGTTCGTGTGTCAGCAATGCGGCTTGGCATTTGCCCGCGAAAAGGCGCTAGTCTCGCACATTAAGGTGACACCAAAGATTACTCCAATTAAGATCGATATTAAATTCTCTTCTACCTTAGAATCATCGAGTCGACTCTCCTTTCGAATGCAATCAATGCCAGGATATGTTCTGGGACAATTACAGCCTGCAGGAGCATCTGAAAACACACCAGTTCGAGGAGAGCAATTCGGAATACGATCCGGCCTCGGCGGGCGACGACAGCGCCAGCGAGTCGGAGGCGGAACAGCTATACGGCGACTTCTACTGCAGCGAGTGCGGCATTTCATTTCACAGGCAGGACCTGCTGCGGCGCCATGCCAGGCAGCAGCACAAGCAGCTGCCCACGGCTGTGGAGGGCGGCGCTAGGGATGCTGATGCCGAGAGTGCCAAAGATGCGCAGCACTCTTGTCACACGTGCGGCAAATCGTTTCCCAGCGCCTTGGAGCTGCTCGCCCATGCCGAAGTGCACGCGCGCTTCCCGCCCTTCAAGTGAGTGGAGGAGATCTAAGAATTATAGAAAGATATAACCAATGCATACATTTTCAGATGCGTTCTATGCGGCGTTAGCTTTTATGAGGAGCAGGCCATCAAGCGGCATTTACACACGCGCCATCCGCATGAGCTGAGACCCAACTCGTGCGTGCTGTGCGGCAAGGAGTGTCGCGATCGCAAGGCCCTGATGAAGCACGCCTGGGATCACTCGCGAGAGAAGTGCCACTCGTGCTCAAAGTGCGGCAAGAACTTTCACAACAAGGCGCGACTGAAGCGACACATGGCCTCGCATCGGGACAAGTCGGTGGTGTGCGAGGTGTGCCACGAGGAGTTTCCAGATGGGCGAACACTGTCCAATCATCGACATTCGCACAGCACCACCTCGCCGGGTAAACTGTTTCCCTGCCACGAGTGCGGCAAGACCTTCGGTTCGCGCAGCTCCCAGCAGATCCATGTGCGCATCCATACGGGAGAGCGACCATATGGCTGCCACTATTGCTGGAAAGCATTCGCAGATGGCGGAACGCTGCGCAAGCACGAACGCATTCACACCGGCGAGAAGCCCTACGCGTGCTCCGTGTGTCCACGTGCCTTCAACCAGCGCGTCGTGCTGCGCGAGCACATACGCTCCCACCACTCGGGTCTGGATGCTGTGCGAGGGACATATCACTGCACCGTCTGCTCGGCCGATATGTCCTCGTCCAATGAGCTCATACAGCATCTCATCCAGCACAGCGACACGAACACCGCCAAGCAGCGACAGCCAATCGTGAGTAGAGTGAGTGAGTTCTTTATAGAAGAGATTTACAGTTATTGTTCTGTTTGTAGACTGGTCCGCGAAAATATAAGCGACGCAGGAAACTGCAGCCACATGAGATCGCGCACATGCGAGCGGAGCATAAGGATGGCGAGGATTATGCCAGCGACATGGAATTCTGTGACCTTGATGTGGAGAATGTGGACGATCTGCTGGAAGGGGCAGACACGTTGCCAAGCAAAAAGGAGAAGCGCAAGCGTTCAGCTGCCAATCAGGCCAAGTCCGTGAGGAATGGGGGCGCAAGTAGCAATGCCTCTGTGTCGGTCAAGTCTGCCAATAGCAGCTGGGATGAGAAGTTCCTGCAGACAAACAGCAATGGCACCGCTGCCAACAATGATGAGAGCTTCTACCAGATTGATTCGCTCGTGGTGGTCAATGACACCACATTGCCGGCCGTCAGCCCATCCAGTAGTGCACAAGGTGCTTCCAAGTCGCGTCGAGGCGGAGGCAAGCAGGCCGAGAATGGCGATAAGTCCGGAGGAGGAGGCACAGCAGCAGTAACAGCATCTACGACTAGCACGGAATCTAGCAAATCCCACGTCGCTACCAGCCGCAGCAGCAGCCGAAAAAAGGCCAGTAAGTCGGCCAAGAGTGCTGCCACAACATCATCCGCACCATCAACAGCAGCAGCATCGACCACGGCGAGCAGCTCGCGTCCACGAATGATACACACAGAAAAGTCGCGTGTGCCGCCAGAGAATGCATCGAAGAAGTCGCGTGGAGGCCGCAGCTACATAACGCGCACCAACACCAGCGAGACCAGCAGCCAGTTGAATAGCCAGCTGGTCAAGTCGAGCGGCGTGTCCAGCTCTCGAATTGTGGATGATTACGAGATCATATCCCCTGCCACCCAACCGCCCAATCAGATCAGTTCCAGTCCGCTGCACATCAAGCAGGAGCAGGAGCAGCAGCAGCAGCGCATCCAGTTCATGTTCGATGACACCCAATTGATCAACACAGCAATGTTGCGGGAGAAGCCCTACGACAAGTTCAATCCAAGCATTGTCAATGATCTCGAGGAGATATTGCGCAGTCCGCTCAAGCATGATCGGAATGCGCGGCTGCGCTTCACCAGCGAATCGTCTACAACGCTACAGTTCCTGCCCGAGTTGGAGCCAAATCTCATCAAGATTGAGCCCACATCGCCGGATCTGCGTGACATGGTGGAGAGCCAGCAGCGTGTCAATACCACAGCTGGACAAGCGGCCACGCCCACATCGTCATCCTCGTCGTCGGCGGCGCGCACATCGCGTCACCTGCGACAGCTGACGGCCAATGGCTCGAGCAGTCGCTCGGCTTCCAAGCGAAGCGCTGGCAAAGCCTCAACGTCCACCGGATCGAGCACCACAAAGCCCAGCAGCAACACATCCTCAACAGAGGCTGTCAGCAAGTCCTACCTCAGCTACGGTGTGGACTCCTACAATGTGGGCGTGACAGCGAGTGCCAACTCGTCGGATGTCAGTTCCGGCTTCTTCTCCATCTCCGAGGTAGTGTCCGCTGCCCACGCAGCGGATGCGGCCAAGGCAGCAGCAGCGAGCAAAACGGAGCGCCGGACCCGCTGTTTCGAGTGCGAGATGTGCTCATCCATATTTTCGGATCGGGCACAGTTGCTGGAGCACATGCACATACACATCTAAGGGAACCAGAACAAAAGGAGAGGGATTTGTTATTGGAACTGTTTTGTTAGCAAAACCACTATACTAAAAGATAAAGAAAACGGATATATTAATTAAGTTCTGCTTAGGATTCTCGCAGGGTGGGGCTGGGGGTAAAAGTATTTTTTGAAATATTTACCAACTAGAATTTCAATTACAAATTGAATGAACATGTTATGCGGGAGAAGTATATATTATATAACAAATATTTGCAACTAAACACACACCCACACATACATTATATATACAAATACATGTATATATATATGATGTACTATATAAAACAACGAAATTGTCGTTAATTATTGCGTTATTTAAATTGAATAGAGAGCGAGCTTAGCTATAAGGCTTTTTAAATTTGTACCTCACATTTGTTTTGAAGAATTGGTATGCTGAAGTAAATAAATCCATAATGGTTTTTCATTTAATTGCGAATTTCAAATCATTCAAAAACACGATAGCATTTATCGTAATCGTTAACTGTTGGAAACTTCCATTATTTCCCCAGTTTCCAGTGTGTGTTTACGATATCAACGCTAGAGTGAGTCACTACTCGACTGGAAATAAAATGTGCCAAAGCGAGGGAGAGCAAGAGAGTAAACGTCGCTCTTAGTGTGTAAGCAGAGTATGTTTGCCTCTCTCTCTCTCTCGTTCACTGTCTTACTTTACGTACACAAAGAAAGTCCAATGCCCACCCTGAACTGTGCCAGTTGTTCGTCTCGATCGATGCTCAGTCATCGACAAGTTGCCAAACAAAGCGACATTAAATAAAATAAAACAAATACTTGCTTGCAATTTTCCACTGCTCGAGTCTGATTTAAGTATTTTACAAAAGTATTTATACTACATTCATAGCGGCGGGCCTTATCAGAAACTACTCAATGGCTGAACAGAACGAACCATTGTGCGGTGGGATATCGAGAGAGCTGCAGGGCGCTGATTTACAGGATGCCCTGGATATATTGAACACATCGCTGGACAAATTGGCCGGCATGGGCGGTAAGCCCAGCTTAAAGTGAGTAACCATTTCGCGATGTAATAAATACTCAATTACAACTGGAATATTCCTGCTTCCAGGGTTGTTAAAGTGAAGTCTGTGACGTCACAGGTAGTCGCCGGCACTCTCTATCGCTACAAGGTTCAACTCGCCCAGGGCGATGCCATCAAAGAGAGCGATGTGAAGATCTGGACACGGCCCTGGCTGTCAGAGAACGGCACCAATATAACAATCAACCTAGAGGGCAATGACAACGTTATCGAAAGCACTTTTTAAACTAACTTCCCTTTGTGTGTTAAATAAATGATTAGTTTTTATTTTTTATTTTATTTTATCATATTTATTGAAACTGCAAATTCCTATAAGTACGCCCCTATATGTTTATACTATAGCGTACCTAAGTATAGAATTAACTGCGTTGCCTTATCAGTGGCTGTTCGAAAAACCACTTTGACTTAATATTTCAGGGTAATGTTTGTAATTTTGTTACTAGCTAGCTATGAACATTTTGAATTGTGAATAAACAAAAATTTTAATTTTAATAGATCATTCTTTAAACTAATTGAGAGAGTTTTTTAATAAAAGCTTTTATATTTAGTTTTATTATTATTTTTATTATTTATTTATATTTTTGTGTTTATATCAAGATTAATCTGTGTATTAATTACATATCAAATTTTATCCATCAAATAAATGATAATATAGTTTCAATTGAAAGTCTAGTTTTATAGCTATTGATAATTAGAGATAAATAGAGAATAAATAGAGAATAAAAGAGAGTACATATATAGGGATATCTGAACATAAATGTGTGTTTGTATGTGTGTATCAATATATCAATATATACGTGATAGGGATTCTCTCCGGGCGTCTTTTTCTCTCTCTCCTTCTCTCTCGCTATACCCCATCTCTCTCTCTCTCTCTCTCTCTCGCTCTATTTCTATCCCTATCTCACTGAGTCTCCCTCTTACTGCCTTTCTCTCTCTCTCTCTCTCTCACACTATCTTTCCCTCTTGGAATGCAGTTTCTTGATCTGTAATTATTTGAAAAAATAATGATCATAATAGTAGGTAAATTTACAGCTAATGCATAGCAAACTACAAGTCACAAATGAATTTGAATATCATAAATACATACACACAAATAAGTGTATTCATAGGTTATCATAGTATGGGTGCTAGCCCTATGAACAAAGTGTGTTCAGAGCGAGCAGCGTATAAAAGACAAAACTCTCTGATTGACTAGTTAGTTTAGGTTGAACTCTTGGCCAGGCCATTTGAAGCACCTTATTGAACATGTTTAATTCGAAAATCTTTTATCTCACACTCTTTGCTCTCGTATGCTCGATCCTAGCCCGGAGTCACCATCTCAACGGAGCTCCCGGCGAACTGAGTGGCGTAGAGCTGAACAAGGCGGTTGAGAGTTTGCAGGCGACTCTGGCGAAGTTGGCGACTGTCGATGGATCCAGCTATACGTGAGTCATTCCACATTTTCACACACAAGTTCTTTGTTTCACTCATGTAGATTAAATGTTGCATTAGGTGAGCATGTGAGAAGTTTACCCATCGACTGCAGCACGATTCTTGGATAAAATCAAATTTAACAAACTAACGTTAATATGTGGAGATAAACAGTGAGTCTATCTGTAAGCTTTAATGCTGTAGATAGAGCTGCATCCGGTCTCTGATTTTCCATATGATTCACTAAATTTCTTTATAGATTAGTATTATTCCATATAATTTTCAAGGTCAGCTCTGCAAGAAAACTAGATCTAAGATCTTTCAATTGAATTATTATTTCTGAATTGGATATTAATAATAATTGGACATAACGTATTAACCCTTAATCGAGTAGTTGTATTCTTAACCTTTCGCTTCAGAAATAATATATAAATTGGGTATACACAACTAGATATCTATCTCAAATATTCAGTCTCTAGCTTCAAGACTAGCCAAGTCATTTCAGTCGGCAATGAAATCTACCTAAAGCTAGTCATTGTCATAGTCGACTAGTTCCGAACAGATAGAGTTCCAAACGAGCATTGCACAAAAGGAATAAACTCTTTATAGTTTATGAACGAATGAAATCTTGCTTCACATATGTATATCAAGATCGTAGCTTGTTTCATTATATTTTTATACTCTCTCTCTCTCTCTCTTTCTCTCTCTCTCTCTATATATATATATATCCATATATATACATATCTTTCTGCAGCGTTACCAAAGTGCTGAAGGTAACCAGACAACTCGTCGCTGGATACCTGGAGAAGTTCACCGTGGAGCTGACCAAAGATGATGTGACCCAGCAGTGCGTCGTACAGATCTGGACCCAATTGTGGCTGAAGGAGAACGGCACGAACATTAAAATCAACTGCGAGGGCGATGATACTAAGGTTGACAAAACCTGGTAAACATTTCAATAATGACAGCATTGTAAAGACATTTTAATAAAACTGCGAACAGCTTTTAAAGCATCGCAACCAGTTTTGGTTTATAGCTATGCGAATCTCTCTCTCCCTCTATCTTTCACTCTACCTCTCTGTCCCTCTCTCTCTATCTCTCTCTCAATCAAATTCATCTTTTGCTAATTACATAATCGGTTTAGTCATTGACGTCATACTGGCAGTGGTGGCGTCTTATAAAATGTTAGTTATGGAATGGAGATTGCTTTGACTAGCAGATACCTAAAACTATGCTTGCTTCGTATCTACGCTTACAGATAAGCAAGTAATACGATTTTTTTTTCCCCTTAAGATTGACTTTTCGATTAAATTAAAAATAAGAAGATATTGATTAAGTAGAGCATGGAATTTATATCTTTCAAAAGGAGTTCTCTTATTTAGATATTTCGAGGTATACACGAAGATATAAAAAATATAAAGTCCTGCATTTCATAGATATCTACAGAGTGAATATAATCTCTAGTTCTCTTAGGATAAATTGACTGCCTGACTCTGAGCAAAAGCAAAATACCTTTATAGTTTATGATCAATGGGTACAACAATAATAAGTAAATCAAAAACAACTGTTAAGAACACATTTCAGTTAATTAAACACCAGCCAGCCTACAATGGTAGACTTCTCTCTCCGAAGGTTTTATTACAAGTGATTTCTGAAGTATTTCTTTTTAGCATTTTTTGGCAATATTTGCTCTAGGCACGCCCATGCTAATGAGAATCATAAATACTCTGGCCAGACGTCTGAATTAATCACAGACAGAACTGCGTGGTTTGAATTTCATTATAACGATACATGTATGTGTATATACATACATATATATATATTCGACTTTATATATATTAAAGATATTATATATATTTTTGATTCCATTAAATATTTGAAAGGATTATTTTTAAGGTCTTTAATCTTGGGTACACAGTCAAAGTACAAGGGTCGTCTATCAATTAAACTTTATCATATTCCGAATCAGAATTATATTGCTCAAAGAGCAGAAGTAAAACTTTCATAATGTCCAGTAATGTTTGGTATTTTTCATTGTCAAGTGTACTGAAAATAATTAGGGTTGATTATAATTGTTTTTTTGATTATAAATATTTGGTATTGTACTTGTATTCTTGATTGCTCATTAAACATAGTTATTGTCATTGTTTTTGTTATTGTTTCAATTTATTAGGCGTTGCCTTCGAAACAAGTTCTTATCTCCCGTTTCGGATGCCTTTATACTCAATCAGATAATGAAAGAGTATATTGGCTTTTGTGCAACATCCCCCTGTCAGTCTGCCTGCTTGAAAGATCCTATTAACGCTAGAAGCTCTGCTAGAACTTAATTAACAAATACTCTATCTAGTACTTCCCAACGTGCTATTTTTGATATTTTTAATATAAAATATGTTCGAACATCTATAGCTGATATATAATTTAGATATTTAGATACTATAGATTTCTACCAAAATAAATATTCTGTAAAAACCATATTTTCCAAAGTTATTTAGCTCTAGTTCAAGCTAGAGTTTCAACAGATTTCCTATTAGGATTTACCAAAGAAAGCCGTAGGCAAGTATTAAGCAGTCGATTGGATCCGACCGCGATATTATTCCTTTCCTTTTAATTTTAAGTCGGACAGCCTAAAATATTTGTTTTTTTTATTTTTTATTATTTTTTTTTTTAATTAAGTATGCACACATACATATGTAGGTGAACATTAATAAATAAAAAATATATTTTTTGTTCATTAAACCTTCTGAAAAATCAGTTGAACTTAAAGTCTAGAAAATAATTAACAAATCTATAATATATATACTTATTATATTATACAATAATAAAAAAAAATGTTTATATTTAATGTGTATGATTCTTTACCCTTGTTCCAGCTCTTTCTAACATATAGATATAGTTGATTATTATGAAATATTTAATTTGTTTTAAAAATCTTTAGAAAGTATATATTGTATATATAACTCTTTCTTTCTTACTTCCATAATACTGTTGTATATATAAGAACATATATTGAGCAAATATTTATATGCATATATTTGTTTACTTTTGTTCCATCTCTTTCTTCATTTTGTTAAAGATTGATTCCGATTTAAATAAGCTAAAAATAATAATTTTAAACTTCCCTAATTAATATCTCACACATTTGCATAACTATCATCAAATAGACAAATAAAACAAACCAGACTTGGTTCTAATGTTCCAAAACCTAATTCTCTTGTTTACTCTCTCTCGTCTCGCTGCTCTTACATCGATTTGCTCAGTGCGAGGCAAATGCTTACACACACACACATACACGCCGCTTGTACTCAACAATTTGAGATCGGCTATAAAAGCCGACTCAGCCGAGCGTCTAACTTCAGTCTAGAATCGTGCTCCGCATCGCTCGGCAGAAACTTGGATAAAGAAAAACAAAAATGCTCTCAATGAAAATCGTTTTTGTTCTCGGCTTGGCCGTGACATTTGTTTCGGCTGGCGTAAGTAAATGGTTTTACGTGTGAAATATATACAAATATATATATAAATTTATATGTATATTGTTAAATAATTCTTAAAGCTTGTCGGCGGCATAACTGAGCTCTCTGGCGCTGATCTGAAGGAAGCCGAAGATACCCTAAACAATTCTCTGTCCAAATTGGCAAGCGGCGATGGACCCAACTACAAGTAATCATTGACGCACCTTTTGTAGTAATTATAGTGACAGATATATTTATAAAATTATTTAAATATTTGCTTAGATTGGGCAAAATTATCAAGGCCACTCGTCAAGTTGTTTCGGGCAGCAAATACGTCTACGATGTGGAACTGATTGAGGGCAGCAAGACGAAGGTGTGCAACGTGGAGATCTGGTCCCAGCCATGGCTCGAGAATGGAATCCAGGTGACCTTTAACTGCCCTGAGGGACAAGTTGTGAAGAAGCACAGCGCCTAAGCGTGGGCAGTGTTCCTTATCCATAATCAATCTGATCAAATATCAGTTTTGCAATAAAGAAAGAGTAAAATAGAACTGGAGTCTTTTGCTTTTGAGGAAGAGAATAATCGATGCATTGGTTAGTTTGATATATCATATATTAAAATTAGTGAACCTGTGGTTGGGTGTATCCTGAATGTCGTATTCATATAAGGCAAGATGGAGTGTGGTATAGAAGAAGTCAACTTTTATAAACCATAAATTTAAGTTTTATATGTTCTGTTTGTTGACAGACTGATGAGCAGGGCTAAATCGGCAAGGTAGTAAGATCTCAATTGATTAAGAAAATCTTTAAAAATATACATGTATATATTTAAAATATGTATAAGGCGAACTAAATGTGGTTTAGCGAGGTCTTGATTATTATTTATAAATGTATGATTCTGTTCCTTTGCTCGAGCTCTTTCTTTCAATCTTTTGTTACAGATCAATGCTAATATTTTAGATTTAAATATAATCTTCCATAATTAATTTCTTACATATTTGCATAAGTATGGCAACTAGGCATGTGAGACAAACCAGATTTTATTCTAATTTTCAAAATACTATAATTTCTCTTGTTTCGTTCCCACTGTCGTTCTCTCCCCTCGTTGATCACACATCGAATTGCTTAGTGCGAGGCAAACACTCACATATATATATGTACTTTTCTCACACCGAACAATTAGAGATCGGCTATAAAAACCCACTCGACATAGCGTCTAGCATTCAGTCTGGATTCGTTCTTTGCATCGCTCGCCAGAAAAATAATTAAAATGCTGTCAATGAAAGTCATTTTTGTTTTCGGCTTGGCCTTGATATTTGTTTCGGCTGACGTAAGTATATAGTTTTTATATATTAAATAATTAATTAATAATGATTTCTTAAAGATTGTTGGCGGCATAACTGAGCTCTCTGGCGATGATCTGAAGGAAGCCGAAGTTACCCTGAACAACTCGCTGTCCAAATTGGCAAGCGGCGATGGACCCAACTACAAGTTAGTATTGAAGGACTATAATATAGTGACTTGGATATTTTTATAAAATTATTTAAATATTTGCTCAGATTGGGCAAAATCATCAAGGCCACTCGTCAAATTGTTGCGGGCAACAAATACGTCTACGATGTGGAACTGATTGAGGGCAGCAAGACGAAGGTGTGCAATGTGGTGATCGTGTCCCAGCCCTGGCTCGAGAATGGAATCGAAGTGACCTTTAACTGCCCCGACGGACAAGTTGTGAAGAGACACAGTGCCTGAGCATTGACAGTATACGTTATACCTCTATACCTTAACCATAATCAATCAGATCAAAGATCAGTTTTGCAATAAAGAAAGAGTAAACTTAAACCGAAGTCTTTTGTTTTTGAAGAAGGGAGCAATGAGTTCATTAGGTATATATAATATATTACCATACAGAAATAGATCAAAATTAGTCAACATATGGCTTGTTGTATCCTGTATATATACTGAATGAATTACAGGGTATAAGGAGATAGATAAGGGCAGATGGAGTGTGCTATATAAGAAGTCCCCTTTTAGGACCTAAATTAAAGGTGTATAGGTCAGATAGAATAGTTTTTTGTTAAACATGTGTGCTTTAAATTTTTCTTTTTTAATTTTATTTATTTATTTTTTTAAAATTATAATCTTGAACTTTCTTTAATTAAATTCTCATCCATATGCAAATGAATAATCAATTAGACAAATAAAACATGCCAGATTCGCTTTTCATTTTCAATATAATATACATAATTTCACTTGTTCTGTGCTCTCTGTCTACTCACACACACATATGAATGTACTCTGCTCATACGCAACAATTAGAGATCGGCTATAAAAGCCAGCTCGGATTAGCATATAGCGTTCAGTCTGGAATCGTGCATTGCATAGGTCGGCAGAAATTTCGAAAATATAAGAAATTAAAATGCTCTCAATGAAAATCGTTTTTGTTTTCGGTTTGGCCGTGACAATAGTTTTGGCTGGCGTAAGTAAATAATTTAGACCATCCTATATAATAATAACCATAACTCTTTCTTATAGATTGGCGGCGGCATAAAGGAGCTCTCTGGTGATGATCTGAAGGAAGCTGAACAAATCCTAAACGATTCGTTGTCCAAATTGGCAAGCGGCGATGGACCCAACTACAAGTATTGACGCATTTATTATAGTAATTATAGTGACTTAGTTATAGCTATTAAATTTTTTAAATATTTGCTTAGGTTGGGCAAAATCATCAAGGCCACTCGTCAAGTTGTTTCGGGCAGCAAATACGTTTACGATGTGGAACTCATTGAGGGCAGCATTACGAAGGTGTGCAATGTGAAGATCTGGTCCCAGCCCTGGCTCGAGAACGGAATCGAGGTCACTTTTAACTGCCCCGACGGACAAGTGGTCAAGAGGCACGGCATCTAAGCTGATTCTCTGTCTCTGTACTCTGACTCTGTGCGAGAGTCATGATCAATTTGATAATGACAATAAAGAAAGAGTAAAAGTAAAGTAAGAGCATTTTGCTAAGGGGAATTCTCAGGCTGCGGGATTCAAATGAATAAAATTGAACCATTTGATATATGCAAGTGTACTACCGATCGCCTTCATTAAGGCTAGAGTTAATACCCTTGCGATATAAAGTGCCAAAGATGGTAGATCGGCAAATACTAGATCGTATATCCCAGCAAAGCCACTATTACAAGTGGCTATACATGATCGTGAATATATAGGTTATATATCGCTCACAGTGTTAGAGCCTCAGTCCCAAAGTTTTTACTATATTCTATTTTATTAACACTTGACATAACATTACATAACTGAGGTACTTGGCTGCGTGGCTTATATGTAAAAACCATATAGCATATAGAACAGAATATATGTATTTATATATAGAAAAAAAAAAAAAAAAAATATATATATATATATATATATATATATATATATAGTCTTTGCTAATTGATTATAAATGATTTAATTATTTGTTTGGCTTTAAGTTCAACTGATTATTCTCTGACTTAATTACCAAAAAAATTATTTCAAATATGTGAATGTACAGCCATTTGTATATACTTGAATGTATATATTTATATAAAAAAAAAAAAAGGGTGAAGAATTTTTTCTGGCTTACTTTCTTAGATCGATTTGCTCAGTGCGAGGCAAGTATTCACGCACATACGCAGGTCAGAGTAATACATTAAAGATCAGCTATAAAAACCGACTGAGATGAGTGTTAAACATTCAGTCTGGAATCGTGCTTGGCAGGAAGTTGAAAAAAAAATTAATAAATAGAATGCTCACAATGAAAAGAATTTTTGTTCTCGGCTTGGCCTTGACAATTGTTTCGGCTACCGTAAGTTAATAATATTAAGTGTTTGGAAAAATATATAAATATATAAATGCATTTCTATAGATTCCTGGCGGGGTAACTGAGCTCTCTGGCGCTGATCTGAAGGAAGCCGAAGACACCCTAAACAATTCTCTGTCCAAATTGGCAAGCGGCGATGGACCCAACTATAAGTAAGTGTTCAGGCACTATTAGCTTGACAAATTTGTAAAAATGAATGAATATTTGCTTAGATTGAGCAAAATCATCAAGGTAACGCGCCAAGTTGTTGCGGGCTACAGATACGTCTACGATGTGGAGCTGATTGAGGGCAGCAAGACGAAGGTGTGCAATGTGGTGATCTGGTCCCAGCCCTGGCTCGAGAACGGAATCGAAGTGACCTTTAACTGCCCTGACGGCCAAGTTGTCAGGAAGCACAGTGCCTAAGCTGCTTGGCTCTATCTCTGTACGTGAGCCATAATCAATTTGATCATATATCAGCTTTGCAATAAATACAGAGTAAAAGTAGAGTCTTCTGCTAAAGGGAATTTCATGTATTGGAGTTCATTGGGTCGTTTAATTATGCCATACATAAATATTTCAAGCCAAGTAAAAGTGACTATGAGAAGAACTTCTATTCAAGAAGGAGCACATACACACACACATACACGCACATCCATAGGCTCCAATAGTCGAAAACTTTGTGGTGGGAAGGTTGAGCATTTCAGGCCGGCATTCAATAATAAAAATCAAAAGTCTAGCCGGTAACTCTTATCGGTTCGGGCTAAATCAACTCGACTGCCTGTTACATTCACTTTAACAAACACAATATACCCTTATAAAGTTGCAGGATACAAAAAACCATGGTTTTATCCTCAATATATTCTCAGCGTATTACAGTTATAATGTTTTTTTTTAAGCAGGCAGATAGAGTCAACGCTTAGGACCCAAATTGAATCTCAATAGGTCAGACAGACAGGTGAGCAGAGCTTTATCAACTCGAAACTAAATCAGTTAGATTCTCTCTGTAATTAAAGTAATTAATCTTCAAGAGAGGGGCACAGAACTCAGAATATGGCCGAGACGTGCCTCTCGAATGCCGCAGGGTACTCCCACTTTTCTGAATCTCCATTTGCATGTTCAATGATTAAAACATTTCGTTATATATATTTTGTTGGTCTTAATACCATTTTTTATTTGCGTTTAATTAGACAAGTTTGAAATATTGTAAACAGAAATTTAAGTTTTAAGTTAATTATTATTGTTTATATCCCGAACCGGTTCGTATTAAAAGTCGGCTAGCTGTCTCGGCCTAAAGTTGAGTTTAAATAATTAAAATATTTGCACATCGTGAAGGCCAAGGGGATGACGTTTTTTTTTTACGAAAAATACAAACAAGTTCACAGACGTAATTCACTGAAGTATAAACTGTAAAACTGAATAAATATTAAGATTTAAATATTGTCAGATTTAATGCCGGTTTTTGTTCTACATTGAAATTATCATAATTTTACTATATTTAATATAAGTATAGATTTCTATAGACCTATTTTTGTATTGTGAGCCAACGAGTTTATGTAGACAATAGAAACAATTAAATATAGTATAATTTCTTAAAGACTATTGAAATTCGATTTTGAATTTGATTGTGATCTGTGATTGATTGTGAATCTGATTTTAATGGGCTTCTCCTCTTTTGTTCATTTTAATTGCCAATGTAACTACAGCATGATGAATATACCAAGACAATTTCACAGAAAATTGTGTTAAAATGTCGTGTAAGCAACTCAAATACCTTATCAGCAAAGATAGGTATAGGAATCTATCTTCAGACCTCTTCTGCCTGTATTTCAATATGTTCGTTTTTTTTTTTGTTTTCTGCCAATGCAAGATCGTAGCCAAAATAAGTAGCACGACGCGATAGCATTTAGGAAAATGCAGGTAGGTAAACAAAGGTGCACAAGCAGGTAAGAACTAAATTATTTGTTTCAAGTTTGATAATTTTCCAAAGAATTTATTTATTTGAAATAATAGTAGTACCAAGAGACGTATAAAAACATATGCACTTATTATTGATTTAAAAGAAGAATTATTTAGACAAGATGAATACGTACGCATAAAGAATTGATAGAAATTAGCAGACAACTGATTTGTCAGTTTTTATCTACTGTGTTTAAGAATGAAAGTAAGGCCTGTAACGAGGCTAAGTAAGTGATTGTTGTTCTGTTATATATATATATATATATATATATATATATATATATATATATTAACTAAAATGATTTAATTAATTGTTCTTTTCTTTCTTTCTCATGAATGAACATAAATATTTTATGATATCTGTAGCATTTCCACATTAATGTATAAACCTAAGCATATTGAATGTCAGCCGAAAGCTGACTGCTATGAAACGTGAAGGTGAAATGTATAGAATTTATTGTAGTCTAACATCAGGCGCGAGTTTTTAAATTCTTTGGCTAATGCCTTCATTATCTAATATACATATACTTTGTTTTATGATATTAGTTGCGTATTAAATTATATAAATTTTTATAAATGTTGGCGAAAAGAAAGTCTAGAGAATTTCTAATATATATTAAATATATCAAAAAGTCTATAAATTTCTTGTGAATTATATGTGTCTCATTTATATTAAAGTGGGTCAGATCTAATAAATACTTTTACAGCTAAATATTTGAGTTTGATGTAGATCATATTTCTAAAAAAAAAAATCAACAATCTTAAAGTAATATTACTGTACACTTTAAATGATATATTAATATAAGATAAGCAATAAATCAGATACTTGACTTTTAATATTATTATTTATATTGTCCTACCTATTATGCTCTAGATGAAGTACAATTCTAGTAAATTCTATAAAAAGTTATCTTATGCTGCCCGCCTCGATTCGAATATGACGCATGGAAAATATTCTACTTCAAATCATTAATTGAAGTTGGCATGATCTTAAAGCCTTGACTGCAGTATTTGTTGTTGTTAGCAAATTCCTATGGTAAATTTCAATGCCCGTCGGCTCCAGAGAAAACACGGACTGAAGCAAAAGATTTGTATTCCACTTTAACTTTGATATTGATAAACAAGACAAGACATGAAAAAATAAAAATAAAAAGTTTATTTAACCCAGTTGAGACTTTTAAGTATTTAACAACATTCGAAGCTAATATTGATGGACGGAAAAACAAAAAGAAGATCGCACAAAGCCAATATATATTCACTCAAACTCATATTCACTCATACAAAATATATGCTTAAATTAAATATCATGAACAAATAAAATAAAATGAATTCTTAAATTCAATTTATTTATTTTTATGTATTCAAGGCAAACAAATTTAATTTGTATGTACTTTAAATTTTGGAATTTCTTCATTAATGAAATTATCGAAGGTGAACTTGGATGTTCATTGACTGCTGGTATTTGAGTAAAATTTGACATTCACCCCAAGAATTGAAAAACATCTGCGCAAATTTGCAAATAGTTGGCCGATGTTTTTGGTATATAAGAGCGACATATCCACTTGAAATTGTATCAAATTCAACAACGATTTTGCATTGCTAACAATCCCTTGAGATGCGTGCGGCTACATTTGTCCTGAGCTTCGCCATTTTGGCTTGTTTCGTTGTGCGGCGCAGCGAGGCGGTGGCCTGTACATCCCTTGATCCTGATGTACCCGCTGGTTGCACCAATTGCGCATTGCCAGCTAATGCCAACCATGCTGACTGCGCAACAACAACGGCGGAAACAACAACAGCGGCGGCAACAACAACTCTAGCGTCGACCGGAACTGGAACTGGAAATCGCAACGGAGCGCGAACTGTGTTCATCAGGAATCTAAGGTATACAAATGTGCGACGCATTCGACGAAATAACAACGCCAACAACAATGCCAACAACAACAACGCGAACCGGCCTCAGAACATTCTGTATAGACGTGGAAACGCAAGGCGTGGATATGTAAGGCGTGGTAACGTGCGACGTGGAAACGTCCCCAACGTGCGTGTGATCAGAGTGTAAGCCGATAAAACAGCATAAATTGTACGATCGCTTTATGAATTTATTGACAAATAAATATTAAAAAAAATGTTTGCATAAAAATTTCAGTTTTTCCATATTTTATCTTTTTTTTTTTTTTTTTTTTTTTTTATATCCTGAACTCATTGAAAACGGAAAAACATAATGTATATAGCAAGGCAACGAGCTAACGTGATCTAGCCATGACCGTTCGTTCGTTTGTCCGAATCACCACAGTGATTTCTATATGTGACGAATTTATCATTTTTTCCACCAACTCATTTATAATAATCGATAATTGGACTTTGTTTTTCAGACAAAGACAGAGAGGCAGAGAGAGAGAGAGAGAGAGAGAGATAGAGAGAGAGAGAGAGTGAGAGAGAGCGAGAGGGGTAGAGCGAAAGAGACAGAGACAATGAGAGATCGATGAATGAAGAAAGAGTCAAAGAGGTAGTGTGAGTGAGACACATTGCTTCTATCGAATTTTATATCTATTTCACTATTTTCAGATTTTTATTTTCTCTCGCTCTCACACTTTCCGGGACCTTCTACTACAAATCAATCAGAAAGTTTGATTTAATGAAAGAAAGTTGAATATCTTTTGAGCTATATATACACATACGTTTTTATGCTAAAGTAATGAAAGACATTTTAATAGCTATGCATCGTTAGTAAATTGTTTATGAACAGTTTTTAAATATGCAGGTGATTTTAATGCAAATAGGTCAATACATCAATCGAAACTCTTGTTCAATCTTTCTAGATTTTCACTCGTGTATATACAAAAATTCAAAAATATTTTATTTTAAATTTTGTATTGCTTACATTATTGTTGACTCTCTAAAAATGAGCATTGGAATTTATATACAAAAGTTCTATGGCTCGACAGTCAGGCTTACAATTTAGCGTGAGAGTTTCCAATGAATGAACTTTTGTATCTTTGTATTATATTAATTATTATGACGTCACTGGTATGTATTATAAAGTTAAGCAGAGACAAAGCCAGTCGCAGCGTTTCATGCAATTCAGTTGGAGTTGGAGCCGATCTCTGAGCGGTACAGCCATGGAAATTTATCGCTACTTAACAATTGTGTTGCTTGCACAGCAAACGGTAAGTATAAAATACAAATATATATTATATATTTATAATATACAATTAATTCTGTTTACAGCTATCGATTTGTATACCGCCCAACCACTGCATCGAGGACGTAAGTATTCAGTGTTTATTTTCAGTAGAGCTCTCCCTCCTAATTATATTCCTCTGCAGATGGACTATAGCGACGCAAAGGAGCTATACAGTTATGTACTTTCGAAATACGCAGAGCTGCAAATGAAAATTAGCGGCGAGCCATTGGGGTAAGTTTCGAGCAGTTAGTGAACAACAAAAAATGATGAAGTTCGCGGTGAAAGTTTTGACTATTTTGTTGAGCGCAGATTGCATGGCAAAGTTGTCACGCACGGCAACATCGAGGAGCAGCATATAGTGTTCCAGCTGATGGACAATACGCCGCACGACGTCATCCAGAGCTGCGTGTTTGTGGTTACCAAAGCGCCCGATGAGTGCGAGTCGATTGTGACCGTCTGCAATACATTTTTGGGACGCACTCCGCGGCCGTTACTGGAGCGCAAGCCACTGACGGTATGTGAGGATGGCGTGCGCGAGGCGGAAGTGGAAATGGAGGTGGAAGTGGAACCGGAACGCGAACCGGAAGCCGAGGACACTGACGACGCCAATGAGGGTAAAGAAGCAACGCCAGCCACAGCGTCGGACGTCGACGTGACCAGCGACAGTGAGCTCATCTAGCCTGGCTGGGGATTTGGCCTAATGTGCTGTAATTCGTATTTGAAAAAGAATTGATTAAAGGAGCTTGAGCTTGAAATGATGTGTCTAAAATAATAATTAGTAAAATCGAAGCTCAATTTAAATAATTTCTATGTATAGGCGCGTAGGCATTATGAATTATAAGTAATATTATATTTATCTAAACATATATGCCACAGCATAAAATCACATTTATAATTGAATTTCATATATTTATATAATTAATATTAATTTTCTTATTATTATTATATTTTAATTTGGATTTATTCTATATGACAATTTTGTCTGTAATACAAACAGGATTATCTTTGCTCAAGATCACAGCTTTTAATTTCAGTACTTCTCTTAAAGGAAGAGCACAAACTCAGCCAAAGCCTTGAAGTTCAACAATAGCCCAACGCCTGCCCACAAAAATGGCGTCTGCGCATCAGACACTGTCATAGAGAATGCTCTTAATTTGAAGACACAGTGGTCTGATAAGCATCTATGCGAATCGAAACTTCAGAAAGTGAACTATGGCTAACAAGCAGTACTCTGCATAAAATTCACTATTTCGTATAGTGTTTAATACATTTTAATGTTACCTTAATAGTTAAAATATAAAAGCATTAAATAATGTCTAAATATTTACTAAAGTTCATTTGTCATCTATTGAAATTTCACCAAGCTACTGACAACTTGGCGCCACTGTAGCTTTTATTGTCAACACCCACAGGCACCTTGAAAGAGCGCGAGAGAGCGCATTAAAGCAGCGGCTTGTGCCAAATAACCGTAAACAAAACGTAGCACATGCTAACGCTGACGCTGGCGTCGACGCTAACGCCAAAGCAGACGCTTTGTCTGCGCTGCGAGCGCTGCTGCTGCTGCTGGTTCGCCCTATCAGTTGATGTCTGGCGCCAAAGCGAACTGGAGCAACGGCAAGACGGCAATAGTAGCGCTCAGAGCTTATAAGCTGCAGAGCACGATTACACTGGGAGAGAGAGCGAACGAGAGAACAAAAGCTAGCAAAAGCAAAACAAGAGAGTGAGCGAAAGAGAGAGTATGTGTGCCCAAGCGTCAACGCGCCAACGTGAGGCAGCTAGACAGAGAGAGGGAGAGCCAGAGAGAGCGCAGCCATTTGGGTACGCTGTAATTTAGCTAGGCCCGCACAGAATTTTTCGGTCGCACACATCGTGCTCAGTGCTCAACTTGACGTCGTGCTGTGAAAAAGTCGAAAAGCCGGAAGTTGAGCAATTCTGTGACAGCGCTCATCCACCCACCGCTCTCGCCAGCTGCTCGAGCATTAGGCTGCCGCAAACACTACGTATGCGGAATTGCCGCCGGTTGTAAAACAAACGGTGCAAACAGTTTTGCATAATATGTACAGCAAATACAAACAGCAAACAAAGGCGACTGCCCAAGAATTAGTGTATGAATCTAATCAACAATTCAGTGTTTTCATAAAAAATTAAAAAAAAAAAGCAAACGGAAGAAACCATAAACAAATGCTTGTCAAGTGCAGTGCAAAGCGATTTGTCGCATTTTTCTAATTCACATTCACCCGCGTCGTTTGTGTTATCAGCCTGTGAACAACAACAGCAGCAACAAGAACGGAGACGAGCAGCACAAAAGCACTAGCAAACAAAAGGAAAACAACGACAACAAAAACAAAAACAAATGCTTGCATTCGCGGCGAAATGTAACTGCATTTCAAAATTGTCGCCAACGCCGCTGTCGACGCACATGTGTATGCGTGCATGTGTATGTGTGTTTATAGGTGAGTAGCTTTTGTCATTATGCGTGCGTGTGTGTGTGTCTGTGTTTGTTTATACCAACAGCTAAGCTCAGCTGTAGCCGTAGCTTTAGCTGTGTTTGTGGCTTTTGCGTAAACAAAGCAACCAAACCCAACAACAAGAAAAACACGAAGAGAAATACAAATAAATTAAACACAAACACTCGACTCGAAAAAAAGGAAGCAGAACCCCTCCTCTAATGGGAAAATTCTAATATTTTACCCTTGAATGCAAATGTTGTGTGTGGTTTGGCAAGGGGCGGAAGATGAGGGGCGGGATACGAGAGACTCTTTGGGGCTGGCTGCCTCCTAAAAGCTTTTTACTTTTGAGCCACATTTTTCGCCTTAAATTTCATGAATATAAATAAAACGCAGCGGCTTCTTTCTCTGACGCGTAACGTAAATTACTTCAAAATTTGTTTTCACACAGCTTAATTTTTTTTTCGTCGTCACTTGGCGCGCTTTTCTCTCTCTTTCTGGCTTGCTTGCCTTGTTGCCCTTTTGGAGACTCGCCAAACGGTCGAACGACCGTCCCCCAGGCTGACGGTGAGTCAAGTCAGTCCGTTAGTCAAATCCATTAGGTTTTTGTTGCTGTTTTACTTCTGGCTTTTTTTTTTTTTTTTTTTGTTTATGAGCAGAACGTTGCCCCATGTCACTGTCTGGCTGAATAACAGATCTCTTAAAAACAGTATATACGTGTTTTCCACTTTGTTTTTCCACTTTGACTTTATTTTTAAGGATTTTAGGCTGTCGCAGAACTTGTTGACCCATTTATGTGCTATTTGTAATTTGTTATTTGCCAAAGACTTTATTTAATTCCCAAATTACTTTTTTTTTTGTTGTTTATTCTTTCATTCACTTTTTTTTTTTTTTCTGGGTTATAACAAATTGGTTTCACTTTTGTTTTCTTAATCCCTTTGGCTCTGATGGACTCCACAAACATTAAAATCGTACAGATTACAAGCTTTATTCGAACAATAACTCAATTTTCAAGCCATGCCCATATGACTTTGGTTCACTATATTTGGTTAGGGCCTGGGCCTTAACAATTTGCCAAGTGTTTTAGCACTTGAAAGGGTTTCGGGCAAGGTATTACAGTTCTTAAAGAGTGCCTACTCAGTCTCTCTCTGTGTGTGTGTGTGTGTGTTTGTGGGGTCTAAATAGGACTCATCGATTCTTTCATTTTTTTAATACACTTTTATTAACGTTTCCTTTTTAGTGTCTGTTGTGCGTGCTTTTCGCAGGACCCGGCGCGTGTTTCTGTCCTTTTTGCCCGCTGTCCCTAAGCACACTTACACACTTACACACACACACATAGATATATACGTCAGTGTGTCTAGTCCACGACCTAAACGCTGAACTGGCCTGACGTTCATTGGCTTTGTGCGGTCCGCAGGCGGATATTTGTTTTTGTTATTGTTCCTGCATTCTCAGCAGCGCCATTTGGCCCGAGTTGCGTATCCGCTGCCGCTGCCGCTGCCTCTATCTTTGCCTCTGTCGCTGCCACTGCCTCTGTCGCTGCCACTGCCTCTGTCGCTGCCTCTGCCTCTGCCTCTGCCTCTGCCATCATTGGCCATAAAATGGTGTCTCTGCGCACATTTCGCTAGTCGCATTCACATCTGTGACAGGCTTTCGCCTAGTTTAACCTTGCCTTGCTTTGCCTTGCGCCTCGCTTCTGATTTTATGGCACACACACACACCGCGAACACCCTGTGCACCCTTCGGCCTCCCTTCAGCTGCTTGCCAGACACATGAGCACATTTTCGCAATTTTATTTTGTTCCACATTTTCTTGGGCATTCCTCTGTGCCCTGGATTTTTGGCCCACATTTTGTTTTTGTTTTGTGCCTTCTGCGTTGTCGCTTTTCTCGTTCGTCTGCCTTAGCCAACTTCATTTAATCAGCAATTCATTTATTAAAACGCCTCGCTTTTACTGCAAAGCCCATTTTGATTGACCTTGAAGCGCTTTCTTTCCTTCTCATTCGGGTTTATTGATTCAGTTAGGCGGGCAACGCGGCTTGGCGCTGCATGCTGATCAAATTGTCGCTAATTTGCTGTCGTGTTGCCAAATTATTGCCTCAAATAAATTTACGTCCATTTAATTCCTTTTATCGCAGAGCTGGCGATAAAATAATACAATTAATTAAGTTAAATGCTAAAAGCTTCAAATGCCTGTCATTACATGCCTATAATACATAGCCTGCCTGCAAGTTAATATCACAATTTATTAATAAAAACAACAAAATTCTAGATATATATTTAAATAATGCAAGAGTTTATCAAAGATTAGTTTGTTGAAATCCTGTTTTCCATATCTGATAGTACAGACTAATAAAATGAATTGATATTTAATTCAGCTCTGCAGCTTGTCAGATTACGTATACGCGCCGTGCGCCAGCTTTAACAAGCAATCGCCGCCGTTGAGCATTACTCATAAAAAATAGACGAAATCGCAACTGAGAAGCAGAGCTATACTATTAATATTGACCCGAGACTCTGAGAAACTTTGGCCGAATAGCAGAGCAGTTGAAAGATATTGCGAAAGTCGAAAGGCTGTCGTCATATCCTTGGCCAGGAAACAACCTGGACGATGCACAGCAGCCGCCGTCTGACTTTTCGTTGCCACATTTCAGTCTCTATTTTTATGTTTTTTTATTACTTTTTTATCTTATTTGGTTTCTCTTCTCCTCTTTTTGTGCACTTTTAAGTTTCGTGTTATTCCAACGCGAAAAACTTCATCTTTGCCCGTTTTGCTTGGCGCTTATCCATCTTACCCCATTTTAGCCGTGTTTTTCTCGCCGCTCTTGTTCGATACTTTTCTAAAGAGCTGCTGCCACATTTTGTTGGCTTGCGCTTTTATGTACGGGTCCCGGCTGGCTTTTTACTTAGCTGCTGCCTTTCACTTGCCCAACAATTGAGCTCCACCGAACTCTCAAATACCCGACTTGAATATACCTAGACCGAGACCAGCTATGAGTTTCTTCAGCAAGCTGAGTTAATAATGGCAAAGTGCTTTTCAGTGAGATTGAAAACTCTTCAGATATAATGTCACGTTTTATTTCCAGACTGCTTTGCAAAGAAATATGCATTCCAATTTGAGCTCAAGGATTATTTTATGGGTTGTTAGGGAGCATATATATATATATATATTTTTCTTTTTTTTTTTCTTTTTATTATACCCTAACCTATTGAATGTAAGAAATTAGGAAAATGTTTTTTTATTTTTTTTTTATTTTTGTTTTTTTAATTTAAATTAAATGGAAAAAGTTTGCAATTTCTATTAAAGGTGTGGCTATTATATATATTTCAGAGGTAGAATAGGTAGAGCTTGGGTTAATGATATTCTGTTAAGAATTCGATATAAGTTTGTTTTTAAATTATAGAAAATAAATCAATTTTGATTACAGCTGAAAAAAATGTGACTATTAAATTATAGACAATTATATATTTTCAATAGAAAACTAAATTATAGAAAATAAATCAATTCAAATAACAGTTGAGGTCTGGGGCAGTTAATTGGTATTCTACAATCAACTAAAAAAGTTGTGCAGCATTCAAATAGTTTGGCATAATTTTATTATTTTATGTTGTTGCACCTCACTTCGAATTATTCTCTGCGGTTGTTTGAGTTCGCTGTGTCGCACATATATTTGTTTTCTGTTACTATTTTTTTGTTTTACTGTTGGTTTTTGCAGCAGGATATCTTTTACGCATTTGCCCTTTGTTGTATTTGCACACGCTCACACGTAGCCTGACCGCGTTTCGCTTTTAATTTTAGTTGTTTTGCTCGTTGGTTTGGTTTTCTCTATTGTTTCTTTTCTTTTTGTTTCTTGTGATTATTCTTTTGCGCTATTTTTAGTGGGCAACATTTATTTTGGTCGCTTCGGTTTTTGTGTTTGTCATTTTGGCCACAATGTTGACCCTTGTCTTGGTGACAGTGCGAAAACAAAAGTGTGCACAATTGAAAGGCTTTGGCAGCTCCGTTTTCGTTCCGTTTTTACATGCGCGCGGAGCTGTCTGTTGTCTTTTGTTGTGTTTCCATATCGATTATATAATCATCGGAGGGCGTCTCTGGCACGTGGACATGCCACGCAATTACATTTACCCATTTACCATACCAAATGCACCAAATGTATACACAATGTGTGTGTCTGTATATGGCTGGCAATTACATTACGTATACGCGCCATATGAGTGAGGCTGAGTAAGGAATATTGCTTTGGAAATGCTTGAGCTGTTGTTTGATTAAGGTCCGGATTAGATAAGACCGTGTAGTCTGAAGTCAAGCGCAAGGCCACGCTCTGATTTTCGTCGGAGCTCAGCAATTCGACTTTATAATTAAATTATTTCAGCAGCAGCATTGCCTCGGCTCAAGCCCCACTCATTGAGTTAATTTGTGACAATTTGTGACTGAGTTGAGCTCTCTCTCTCTCTTTCTCGCTGTCGTTCAGTTGGCCAGTTAATGTTGCTGCCTGGCTGCCTGGCTGACTGTCTGTCTGGCTGGCTTAAGCGAAAGGATTGCTTCTTTTCTGCCTGGCTCGAGCCTCGCAGAATAAACAACATTCATCTACCGCTTTGCTTGCCCGCCTGTTCACCCTCCCCCAGCCTTACCCCATCCCTCTCCCTGCCGCGTTGCTTCCGCTCGGTTCGTTAAATCGTGCGGCCATAAAGAACCAACCCGTTGGCCAGCAACAACAATAGCAACAACAGCAACGTGGACATCGCAGCTCAGTTTTGTTGTGCGCTTTTAATTAACATAATTTGATTTGTTCACAGCAATTTCAACTCGCCTTTTATGCATATAAAATGTACAACAATTTTCCATTATTTAATTTTGTTTTCATTTGCTTGTTCTTCATTTCTTTTCTCTCTTTTTTCGGTAGCCAAGTGAAATTAAATTTGCAACAATTATTAGCTCTTATGCAGTTAAATGAAATTTGGCCAAGACAAGTTTTCAGTTTGACCTACAACTAACTAGATTTGATT